AACGCCTAAGCAGAATAATTAATCCTATTTTTTGAGTTCGATTCTAAGCGTTTGTTTAAGCCATGAGGATGAAATATATATATATATATGAGCGATGTTATTGTAAAAGGTACTTAAGCTGCTAAGGTCCCTTTTGCTCTCGAGTCTCTACGCTAGGCACCACTGGTCGCGGGCGTGTTCTTTTTTTGCTTTGACAACACTCATGTAGTCTTGCTACTATATATAGCACAAGCGCTCTGACGTCTTGCTACTGATATGCTGTAAACCTTACCCTAGCTATACCTCTTTGCGAGTGACGGGACGACTCAGACGCGCGCCGATCTGCCATCTCTCCTTTCAAATTAGCACAACCAAGCTGGCAGTCATCGAGAACACCTGATCATGACGTCAGCCGTGACGGTGGCTATTAACTTGTAGTCCAGAACTCTGCAATAGAGAGTAAATCAAACCGTCAGTGCGGCGGGTAAAACGCGCATTTTTTAAAAATATGTCAAAAATATGAAAAAATCAGAAAATGCATTTGGCAAAGGAATAGCTTTAACACATTGTTGTGACATGAATTTCCGCATAATCTGAATTTCAACAGACCTCTGATTGGTTGAATATCCACCTAGTATACCATTATAGCGTTCAAAACTGAACAACCAGAATGAATATACTGGTCCATAATCTAATATACAATCAAGTAGATGCATGTTTAAGTGCAGGTTAGGTGTCACTAACCTTCATATCACACAGGATCACATGTACATGCCAGATACTGGCCAATCAACGATCGAATAGACTGTCAACATGTGAACAATGTAAACAAGCACCAGTTTTGAACGAAAGACCAACGTTTAGGCGGTCTCTCTTCGGCAAGTCTTGCACAGTGTAGAGTTTACAGATTCGTTAATCAAGACATATGGCTTCCAAAGGCAGATCAAGATCTTCAAACCGTCATGAAGAAAGTAGTCTGTTATCCGTGTCACCTTCATCAAGGAATTCAGCAACGAACAGCTTTTATTCGACGACGCCGTCTAGATCAAGAGACCGGCCACTTGATCTGCCATCGACTCCCCTTGCCGCATCGCCACCAAGGATCGAGACATCGAGAGAACGCCGATCTTCGTGTGAAGAGACGATAGAAGATCTAACAAGTGAAGCTCATGGAGCAGAATCGAACGATCGATCCAATGGAGTACCGTCGAATGGTCGATCTACAGGTAATGGAGCTGTAGGTCGAGCTGTAGAATCGAGTACAACTACTAGAGAAACGCTGGAAAAGAAAATAGACAAGGTCCTCGACATTCTATCAAATGGGGGAAATGTAGCGAATGAAAATACATCGAAAGAACGTCTGCCGCTCAAACTTTCGGTATGTATTTTTATTCTAAAAATGCCTGTTTTGTATTCAAAGCAGAACAGTGACACGTTGCATATTTTGGCGACAATTTCGGGTTTGTAATCACGTGACTGTTATTGTTGATTTCATGTGACATATAACTTTCTATAACACTAGTTAACTACTTTAAGCTCTCTTATATCTGTGAAGATGGCTTTGAGACTGCAACATCGAGAATTTTTATATAAAACCTATGAAATTTTAGCTTAAAATAGACTAGTGACTGTTCTATTTGTTTATTACCCTTGAACATGAAAATACATGTAGTAATTTTTATTGGTATGAGACACGTATAAAAAACTATGCAAATACGATATCATTTTTTCATATTTGTTCAGGAAACTGTAAGAAGTGTATATCAAGATGTCGTAGACGTATATGATGAGATGGATGATCAGAACACTAAAGTGAAGCTATGGGATTTTGAAAAAAGGTTTGTCCAAAAACTAACCACATGTATTCTATTCATTAATAGAGTGGTTCTCATTAACCCTTGAAATACACTTTATAACAATTTGTCACGTTTTGTTTCTTATTAGTAACCTTTATTACATACTTTTATATGCACTTTGTTGTAAAGTAATTATAATGTATTTGCTTTCCAGCTTCATATCACCAGAGAATGCATATGTTAATGCAGCAATCACTAAGGGGGTGAGAAACCAGGCCAGAGATGTTTCATATTTATCGCAACAGATAAGAAGTAAGTCGTTTGACAAAAAAAACTATAGGTGAGCCTAGAATGGCATAGTAAGTTTCTTTACATCCAAAAGATCAAATCCCCCCCCCCGAAAAAAAAACAGCAACGAATAAACAAAAAATCTTAACCTTTTAGTGCAAATTTTCATTTCTTTAATTTCAATTTCGATTACATGATTGATTGTGTTATTATCACCATTTCTGCAGTGGCAATTAGAACACATTTCAAGACGAGAAAGCGAAGACACCTGTTGGTTAAGCAAAATAAAACTAAAAGATTCAAAAAGGGGCAACGAGTGCGTTCAAGAATGAACACTGTAAGTATACCTTCTGCATAAGAGACTCAAAACCTAATGCATAATTCACTAAAAGAAGCTTATAGACCTTATAGTCTGGGAGCCCATGAGGAGAAAGGGGGTTAAAAAATGATTCCGTTTACTTCATCAGCTAACAAATCTACCCAGTGTTAAAGACTATACCTTCTGTGACATTGTGAGGGTGGCAGAACAGAAATTCCGGTAGGCCATACCACATGACAAACAATTTTTCATTGGGGGTGGGGTATATGGAGAATGTGGTTTTTATAGACAAAATGACCTGAAATTTTACTGTAATCTATCGAAAAATCAAGATAAGATGTTCACACGATATACATCATTTGATGGTATAAGAGAGTTACCATGGCAACGCCCGTTATCATTTATTTCAAAACATTGTAAAAAATTGCGTTTTTGTCAAAAAAGAGTTGTCTTATTGTTTGGATTTCAAGTTTTTATTGTTTTTTTCTCCTAAATATCCAGTTTATGATATGTTATCTTGAAAACAACACCGAAAACCTGTTTCAAGGGACATCCTGTGTGATAATTATTTTTAAAATAGAGATATGCTTGTTTTTGGTCTTATATGAACATAAATGAAAATCGTAACATTTATATGATATCGCTAGTTTATAAGAGAAATTTTATCAAATCAATGTGCTTCGAGGAAGAGTATTTTAAATGCTCATTTGATGAAAGATTGGTCGTCATTGCAACATATTTCTTATTTCTCATATTTTTGATTTATGGCTTTTTTGTATTCAAGGCTTAGTCCATTTTATATTTTTGAATATTTGTTTTTAAGCAAATATATCTGATAAACATGTATCTATATCTATTCCGTTAAAGTTCATTAATAAATGTCTTTGGGTTGCCTGTGGTTTCCCATGGTGCATTGGTACTTGCAGTGCAGTGCAGGAAGCCATTTTGAAAAGGTAAGAAGTTTATTTACGGAGATGGCCTTAAATATACAGGTTTTGTCAAGTACTCTCTACTTCTCTTGTTAAATGAGCAATGAATAACTTTCGGTTTAGTTATTCATGTATTTTATTTTATATTTTTGTCAATTTTTACTGTCAAAATTTAAATTATGTTACGAGCATTTTGACTGTGAGGTAGTTCGAGTGAACTTATCTACCAATTTTGATAATTGTATTTGTTGGAATAGCCTTTTTACAGTCAAAACACCTGAAGCGTCCCCTCCAAAAATGCATTTTTGCTTTTATTATGTGAATATTGAGCCATTATTCGTTTTCAATAATAAAATCCGTTTTATCAATATTTAAAATATTTCTCGATTATTGATTGGACCAAATCAACACATGACATCCCATTTATGGAAAACACATACACAGGAAGCCCATAGAAAAGTTTTCAACAGCTTCACGCAAACCAAGATGGCGTCTAGTTTGGCGCGAAACGTGAGTATACTAAAAAATATTCTAAAAATTGACAGGAGTTTTAGAGCTTCAAATGCAATTGTATTATTTTTGTTACTTAAAATCTTATTTCTTGTGATTTTATTGACATTTTTTCTGAATTTATCGCTGCCAAAGTATAAAAATCAAAGTTGAGATGTACATTCTTGATCAATTTTCAGGAGACAAAACAGATCCTTCTTGATTTCAAAAACATCAAAAAGCTCTTCGTCTTTACATGTAATGATAAAATAGACAAAAGAAGTATAGTAGAAAAAGCTTTTCAAGTCAAATTGAAAACATCCGATATCATATCGTTGCAAAGATACAACAAAGACTGGGGGGAAGATGTCGACATTGAGCCACAAGAAATTCGTGACCGCGACAAGATAAAAGTACTTGTGATCGAGAATGGCTACATAGACAGACCTATCGACCATTCATCGAATAGAAGCAGCTATTCAGGTGACGAGAGAGGTAGTAAGAGTAGTAACTCTGCCGTCAACCGTGGCGTGGAACATTTGATGGAAAATGTAGCTAAAGCTCAAAGTTCACTTGAGTATAAACTAAGTATAGCCAAAGCAACACTACAGTCACTAAAGGAAACCCCTAGACCCAGAAATGCACTTGGTAATAATCGTCATTTCACCTGCAGTAATTGTCATTTAAAGGGCCACCGTACTAATAATTGCATGCAGCCACCATGCGTAGGTTATTTCGAGTGTGGTAATTTGGCATTACACAAAGAACATCGTGACGAAATAAAACAGGTGCGTTTTTTTAAAGGGATAATAACTTGACTTTGAAATGGTAGGGGTTTGGGTAATATTTTGGACTGGGGCTGACGTATTACTATATAGGGATAAACAAGGTTCTTGACATAAACTTATCCAATTCCATATTTGGTCATTGCATCTATTTTATTATCACTAAAACTAGTTGCTTTCTGTCTGAAACAAAGTCTATGTGCTGCGGATTTGAGTTTTTTTATCATAAACAGGATAACCATATAGGATTCTAGCAGCACCCCATACCCATATCAAGTGTGCAAAATGATGCTTCAAGAGATATAAGTAATATATCTACAACAGGGCAGCTTGTAATTTGGCATTATTATATATACCCCACACTATTTGTGCCAAAAATAACTARAATATATGGAAATTTGTTTTCCAGTCAAATTTGCTTGAGAATTTTTAAATCAGCATCTCCACTTTTCAAGATGCTACGCAATTTATTCTTTATTACATTACAAGAAAAGTATCCCTAAGTTCCATTTTGTTTATTACAATTTTAGGCAGAGAATGAAGTGAAGGAGCTACAAAAACAGTTTGAAAAAAAACAAAAGTGATATGGACAACTACAAGCTGCTTCAGTATGTACATTGCATTTGATACTTTTACAAGTTTAATTACTTACAAAATGACCACAATTCTAATTTATTTTTAGTGATCATTAGCTATGCTTCCACTGTCTATCTGAATAGACATGGATTTTGTTGGCAGCCATGTGCATAGTTTATTTCTCAGCAATTCCCTCATGATCACAGTGTGACAACCAGTTATTATGTATTTACATACTTCTATGTCTGCATTTCAGTCGATCATACTTTTCAGCGTCACATTGTATTTATTTCCTTGTTTATATATATATTTACAACAAAAATATAAGCTTCTAAATTATTCTTTTCCACAGAGATCGCACAAAGACTAATTTTTTCTCACAGATGCGTCAGAAGCTATTTATCTGCAACCCTGTTAAGTATTCTAACAGAACAAAGCTAGATAACGATCTACGTATATTGGCAGCAGCGTGCAGTCATCGACCACCTCCAGCTTCTGTAGATTTGGAACAAATGATTGAGAGTTATCAAATGAAATCAAGAGCTGTGTTTGATCAAAGTTCCAGGTCAGATGACAGCATGTTTAATTACCATCCCACCCTGCCTAATTACAACCAGATGGAGAATTGTAATTTCCCTGTTACAATTCATAAACCAAGGTCACCATTTACCATAAACAATGCAAGCCCTTTACATAACATTCAACCACCTCATGGAACTAACAGATTTGTAGCTCCAAGTCCACCACCAAGAATGTATGTCAGATACCCATCGCCTTCAGTAAGGAGACAGCCATACAAAAGTCCTACATCTCCCCAAACCTATGGTTATCAAAGTCCAACTTGGCTGTCAC